ATGCCATCAAAGATGGCTTTTGAACAGAGTGTTGATAACAACCCAGATGATTCCTCTTCTCTTTAATCTGAACTATAGGGCATCTATAACAGAATAATTTCATTTTAAATGAGCTTTGGCCGAGAGAAGCGCAGGGTCACGTTCATGTGGGGCTTCTTCTTGTCACGATAAGAACTTTAACCTGCATTTTAGAGGGGCATGGTGAATTGTGCTCACAGATTTAATGCAGTGAGACCTGAGGCTCTGAAGATCATCTAATGCACACACAGATTTCTCCAGGATCTCTTAATCTTTTGAGTATTATGATTATGTACTGTAGATGATGAAATATATGGTGAAAAGTTTTTTTTCAGAAGTTGTTCTGCAGAAACCTCTTTAAGATGCATTTTTTATACCCAGTCACATTGCTCACTAGGTAACTTCTTAACTGCAAAATGTTCCTCCAGCGGTTTCTTTATTGTACCTCTTACTTACTCAGTGCTTTTCCAGCCTTTTGTTGCCCCATGCCAACTTCTCCGAGACATGTCGCTGCCGTAAAAATTCAAAATGAGGTGTTATCCTTCACGAAATAATAAAATCTCTTAGTTTAAACATTTGATATGTTTTCTGTGATCTATTGTGAATAAAATGTGGTTTTATGAGATTTGTAAATCACTGCATTTCCCCCCCAGTTTCGTCACTCATCCAAGTGACTTCTTCAGTCTCAGCTGACTGGAGGTTTCCCCAACCTTATAAACAGTACATTTGCACAATAACTGAAACCAGCCCACTGAATGAACAATGGGCTGCGAGGTCAGCTCCTTGATCATTAATATGCTAATTGTCATGACCGTTGATCAAAAAACACTGATCAAAGCCCATTTGTAAACATTACCATAAAAAAATAATCAAAGTAAATGGTGCATGTGTAATTTGTGGTAACAAACAAACAAAACTGTGTGAAATAACAGTAAGTTCTGCATTTATATGGCCAGTCACAATTTCAGGACATCAGATGTTTGTCTGTGTGTTAGGATAAGGACTAAATGTCACAAATAGTCTTGCATATGAAGCTCAACACTGAACTGATCTTTACAAGTCAAAAGATTTTTTTTGGAAACAGGAGTTCGCCTGCATGTGTGAAATCCTGCAAGCTTCTATTATTATGATTCATGGTAAATCTAATCATTATTGTATTAGTAGCAGCTACTGCTGCCTCTCACCTGCATGCTTACAGAGCGTGACCTTCAACACTGACTGCAGTCCCTCTGTAGCTTACCTGACATATTACAGAGGCATGCATATATAATACTGGTGTATAATGGTGGGTGTATGTACCTGGGGTAATTTGTATGGGCTGGGTAGCTGGTGAGATTCCATGATACCAAAGAAGGGATCCTGAGCTCCTTCTGCCTCCTCCATCATGTACAGGATGTCAGGTATATCCAAAGCATTCCTACAGTGTGATACGCCAATGTTATTACTCAACATATTCAAACACTGCACACATTTTAGAATTTGCAGTTTCTAATAATATAAAATATCACTGGAATAAGACTAGAGCTCCTTCATATCGCACAAAATGGATTAATAAATAGCAAAGTGCATAACGTTACTGCTGTTCCATAATGTGGCTTATAAAACACTGATGAAGCTATTTAAAGGGAAGGAGAGCCATTTGTCCACTAATTTAAACACCATATTCTCCATTTTACTGTTTATTACTCCAAACAATCTGTTTGTCATCTCATAAATATTCAACAACAAGCCTGTGAGCTCACACTTCCCCAAACAGCTAAAACTTCCTGACAGTTCTGCTAATTTTTTTTCAGATGCCGCAAGAGACAAAACTTTCTTCCCCTGTGGATTAGCACACTGTGCGTGCATACACAGACCTGCCAGATTCAGCCATGTCTATAGGTACACATCTTTTACAGCGCAGCAGGCGGTCTATGGTTTGTTGAACCTCCTCTGGAAAACAGAAAAATTATGCACACGACTCGTACAAAAAAAAAAACAGAGATGCAAGAAGAGGCATCACATTTAAGTTAACAGTGACAAATGTGCTAAAGGTCACTTCAAGCTAACATGTGTATTCAACATCCTCATTGATAAAAGGTACTAAGAGTATTTAGGTTGCCTGTACCGGCAACCTGTCCAGGATGTACCCAACCTCTCCCCCAAAGCCAGGATTGCCTCCAGCCTCATAGGACCTTCAACTGAATAAGCATATAAAAAAATGGATGTCTGGAAAAATAAAAATGAGCATGGAGGACGTTTGTGTCCCAGTTTACAATGACCATACCAAACTCCACTAAGCCCTGCTTAATAATGCCATATAAACATCATACCCACACACTTGGAGGTTTTATTGTACTGGTGGGTGAAATTAAATGCCACTGCAGACAATGGCTGCTTTCTTGGCATCTCCTCCTGCTGATCATCCTGCATTATGTTTCACCGTTTTCATCAACCATGACAGCAGCATGATTGCGAATCTGTCGGATGCAATATCATCGTCAGGCTGCAATTTGAGAGCTGATGAATCGAGACTGTTGCGCTGTGTTTGATGATGTTGCTTTCATTAGTTCCATATTGGCTTCTAAATCACACTTATCAGGGGGAGCTGGGATGATAGCATTGTTTTGGTTTTTGCACCAAAACAGTTTTCATGACACAGAGAGAAGGTGACGAACACAATCTGTCTGATGTGTTTTGCATAAAGTAAACAAGCTGGGCTTTTTCCCCCAGTTAACATTAATCATGAAAAATAATGAAGCTGCTCTGTTTTTGCTTTTGGTTTATTTGAGTTGGTGTTTTTTGTTGGGGTTTTTTGGTTCAATTGAAAATCATTTTGCCAACCAACTCCCTTTTTTTTTTGCTAATCCTATATAAGCAATCTACCATGAAATGATTCCCATTTATTTTTTAATCCATGTTAGTCATCTCCTCAGTGTTTTGTATACACTTTCAAATTTGACAACTACTGCAGTGACTCAACTTGCAGCATAGTGTGTAGGGAAAGCAGAGGAATGTCATGGCTGATCACACGATTTCAGTTTCTTTTGTTTCTGCTGTCTTTCTGTTTGTTCCTCACCAAGCAAGAAGCCACACTGCCTGTGGTAGACTACAACCACTCCGTACTGCAGCTGAGAGGACAGGTACAGAGAGAACCGAGGCCTGGGCAGGCTGGGTTGTGGTGGAGGAACCTGTGCGGTCACATAGTCCAAAATCTCCCCGCTGTAAACATTCAAAATGAGGCAGATGAATCTTGACTAAATGTGCACAGTAAAACTTAGCTGCACAATTTACTGGCAAATGGAGATGTAGTGAAGTGCTAAGTTTGAACTAAGTAACCTAAACTAGTCTAAACCTTTGCTAATCTACTTTAGCAATTTTATCAGCCTTGCTATACAAAAACGTGCACATTCATACCAGGTCCGCTTGACATTGACTCTCAGAAGCTCTCTGCGGGTCACCCTGATGCCTTTAGTGGCTGCTAACCTGAATAACAAAACACATTTACAAAATTTAGACATAACAATTAGCTAGTCGGGAGGTAATGTCCATCAGGACTTCTTGCTAATGGCTTTGAAGCAACATGTAGACTCACCAAATTGTGGAAAAACATCCAGAATGTCGCTGGAGCACATTGGGGTAGTAAAACATTTCGTCTTATCTGTCAATAAAAATGCAAGAAGTTAAAGAAAAGAGGACCAAGTTTAGGAACTAGATTAAAACACCAATCTTTGCCGAAATTTAAGTCCCGGTTTCCCGCCTCAAAACATGCTCCACCAATCCGGTTTCAGATTCAGGACACCCATGATGCGTTCAAGTACTAAAAATAAATCCATTGCTGCATAAATAAATGTAAGATGAGTAGTTATGTTAGACTTTACCCGTTTAAAGAAAAACTAACATAGAGCCTTACAATTAAAAAGGGCATCAAATTACTTTAAAACTGATGATTAAGACTGATAGCAGTACTCAAGTACTATATGGCTTTAGGTTTTACTTGTTCCCATTTAATGTAATATTATATAACTCTGCTCCCTTTGTGAACAAATGTATTTTTTTGTTTTTATTTTTGTTTTATTTATTTCACAGCCATACTAGTTACAAACACTAAAACTTTAAAATGCAAAGTATTTGAACTGACTATATTTGTGTTTTTTATAATCATAATATAATGGCCTGAAGCACACACATTTGTATGTTCCCTGTGTAGGGCACACTGAGTGCCAACAGGTATATGGGGTATACAAACATTTTATACAACAGTTCAACCAAGCACAGAATGAAGTGTCATAATGTATAATAGCACTGTAGCACATGCATGTATATTTGTATGTTCCCTATCTGTATACTTGCTAGTATTTAAAAAATATTAAAACATATTATATATTAAGTTTTCATAGTTACTAAACAATATATAAAATATAGCACCTAGACTGTGATGGCATAGCATAGCAAAGTATAGAAAGTTCAGTTTTGTTGAGTTATCATGCCATTATTTTGATAAAGATTAAAAATATAGCTTTAGAGCAAAATTATCCTCTTTCAGAGAATGGTACTTTAATTATGCTTTTGCTGCTAACATTTCTATAATTTATTAAGTAATAAGTAATGCAATATATAATCATGTAATGTTGAAAAATTATTCCTATTCTTAGTCCTAATATGAAGACACATTAAAATCAATATAACTGAACTGTGAGTCAGCTTTCAAATGCTTTTGTTTGGCTTTTATTTCTCAGAGAATGTTGCTGATTTTCCAGGAACTTCTCTAGACTGGTCCCTATTTCATCCCATTTAAAAAAAAACCCTGGAAACGCCCGTGAATTTTACACTTAGTATTAAAATAATTTTAAAAAAATTAATTTGATAAACTGTTGTTAGACGTGACTTTACCAACACTTACAATTACTTAAAAATTTTAGGTTTCTATTTTCACTTTAGCTGAAAATAAGAGAAAATTGTGACGTCACCCCCTTCATGGGTAGTGTTGAATGATTGGCCACGCCTCTGTGCGCGAGGGAGGCAGGCTGTAACGTGAACGTCAGGGTGGTGGAGTCTGATTGAAGCTACTGAGAGCAGAAACTACAGCAGGAGGAGGAAACACAAGCTATACTTGTGCAAACCTGACAGAGAGCTCCGTGTAAAAATGGCGTACCACAGTCCATACAGAGCCCCCCCACACATCAACGCTCCTCCGGACCAGGGTTTCCTGTGGAATATCTTCCAGAGGTAAGTGCAGGAAAGCCGGGTTGTTTCGCTGCTGTGTGCCTGTCTCTCACTTTGCTTCGAGGTGAAAACTGCTGTCGTGTAATAGCGCGGGAGGAAGAGGGTGAGACAGGGTGGGGGTGACACTAAATATTTCATTGAGAGCTCGCTGTTTTTGTTTGTCGTTGCTCTCATCTATGCATAACTCTTTTTCGGGACAGATTTCCCGGAGTGAAATGACTGATTTTCAGTGTTACAGTTGAGCCTCAGTTGTGGAAGTAGTACTACACAGTGCGCAGTACACAGCCTGTAGCTGCTTTATGTCACATCTGGTACTACCTTACATTACTACGCGTCTGCAGTGCCGCATAGTTGTATTGATGATGTTACATTGTGCCGAAATGAAGTCAAAGTCAGTCAGCTTGCTCAGTGAGAGTTTTCAAACCTGGGTTCAAGGACCTCCGGGAGTCCTTGAAGGGTTTCCCCTCCCCGGTTTATCCTAGCAACGGAATCACAGCTCCATTCAAAATGTTTTATTTATGTCTCCAGTGAAAACCATCTTCCACCAACACTTGAGTCTGAAGAAGTCAGAAAGAAATGATATAATATTCTAAAAAAGCTGGATATGACTAACTGGATCTATTTAAAACACATTGGAGAGCTTATTTCCCAAAAAAACATTGTTTTATGTTGGATTTTTGGATGTTCCCCCCCCTCCCATATTTGGATGTTAAAGTGTCAGCCACTGATAGTCATCAGTTTCAGCACAGCCTGAGTCAAAAGTGTGTCAGCAGCCAAGAAGGTCATAGAGTAGTAGGCAGAGAGGGAAATGTTCATATGCCTTGGCCCCTGGCAATAGTAAGCTATAGAGTTATGTAATACTGCAGAAGATTTTTTTTCTCACATTAGGATGCTGCTGGCATTGCAAGGCTCGAAACACCCTTTAACTAATTATTTATCTATGGTGGAAAAGCTTTAAGGTATCACATGTACACATTTTGCCTCTTTGAGGAGCAGCACCTTCTCGTGGCTGCATGCATCATTGTCATGTCAGGCGTTATTGTGACTATCATAAAAACATACAGTCATCTGTCACATGAGCCATTGCGCTGCCTCATCTGCTGCCCCTCGGTGAATATCTGGCAGAGCTTTGCTGGAATTCCCTCGGTCATGTGGTCAGAGTCAACGGAGCATATTGACGCAGAAGGCTTTGCAATCCCTTTTACACACACGCACCTACTAACCCATGACTCACCATCCCATTGTTGGACTGCTTTTATATACATGTTTGCTATGATATGACTACATCTGAGTGGATGCACCACGACAAGATAAGAAAAGTAGGCTATTTGACATCTGCCTGGCTAGATGCTGAATGAGTCACTCTCTTCCTTTTGTGTGCATGCTCATGGATGGCTATGGTATGACAAAAATGTTTGAATCCTGCATTTCAAGACTCAGACTTGACTGAGTAGCTCCTACTCACCAATTCTCAGCTTTTAATCAAATTACACATTGATTTAATCAAATAACTACTTGGCAGAAACAAATGTACCTGACAAAAGTTGTTACACATGCAGAGCTAACCGTAATTCTTTCTGCGACTTGCTTTATCCTTAGATTAAAAAGGTTTAAAGTAGGAAGAGTAGCAGTGGAATTTTCAAGCTTGGGAGCTACAGCACCAGTGCCTTACTTTTGGACCAGTTATGTGGAAAGTAGGACGGACTTTTGTTTCGCAAGCTATATTCCAGCCTGATTGCCTAATAGGAAACAGTGAAACATGGGAAAATCTGAGCAGAATAACTGACTCAGTCATGGTGTTTTGTCCTTTTCCCCCCCCTTCTTTTAATATTGTCCCGCTGCAGCTTTTACATAGAAGTTCTGTATTTGACAGTGTGAATATGGAAACACCAGATGGTTAACTGCCTGCCTCTGCAGGCAAGAAGCAGTTTTAATGATGCTTTCAATTTTTTTCTTTTTTACTGTTGAGGTAACTTC